GTTTCGTACTTCTTTCAATTGAATGAAAAGGAGTTTTGGATAGTTTTGCCTCAACGCAAATTTCACATTTATGATTTGAATCAATGTCAAATTTAGGTAAACATTCCATATTAATTAATCTACGCAAAGATCCATAATTAACATGTCCTAGTCTACCATGTCATAAATTTGAAGACTCAAGCAAGTAAGAAGAAGATGTATTTTTATTAATAACTGAGGGTACAATGGTCATTACATTCATCTTGAAAAGGCTATCAGACATGCAACCTTTTCCTATATACATCCCATTCTTAGTAAGTACAAATTTATCATTTTCAAATACTAGGCTAAACCCATTCTTACTCAACAAAGATCCGAAAATAAGATTCTTGCGAATGTCCGGTACATGCAGCACATTGTTGAGAGTGAGTTCCTTTCTAGATGTCATCTTGAGAACAATCTTCCCTTGTCCATCAACTTTGAAAGTTGAGGAGTTGCCCATAAAAATTTGTTCACCATTGTCCACTGTAGAATAAGATGTGAACATCTTTTTGTCGACACAGATATGACAAGTAGCACCAGTGTCCACCCACCATTCTTTCGGATTTCCGACAAGATTTTCCTCGGAAACAACTGCAGAAAGATTGATATCATCTATACCATTGGAAATATTGTCCACTTCGGTCATATGGGCATGAGCAAGCTTCTTGCTTGTTCTTCTTTTGTTTTTGCCTTTGCTACGGCAATCTTTGGCCCGATATCCCTCTTTGTCACAGATGTAACATTTGCCATTAAACTTGTACTTTTTATTTCCCCTCCCTTTTAGAGCCTTGTGATGAACTTTCTTCAGAAGACTTTCGTTTCTTGGTTTTTGAAGCATGTTCCATCACATTTGCCTTAGACTACATAGGATGCTTACTAGCCAGCTTTTCAGAATTGCGGTTGTCCTCTTCAATCCTCAAACGCACAATTAATTCTTTCACAGACATTTCTTTACGCTTGTGTTTGAGGTAGTTCTTGAATTCCTTTCAGCCTTGTGGTATTTTTTCAATTAAGGCTGCAACTTGGAAGGATTCTCTGAGAGACATGCCCCAAAATAAAATATTTAGGTGGCGACTCTGTATCTGGCAAAGCAGTCCATGTTTGGCACTTCTTTCAAAAATCAGTTTTCCTAAAAACGATTTGCCGGATTTGGACTCTTTGGTTCAGATTTAGAACCGTGACAACGAAAGTCGAGTCCGAGCTGTAGCGAGGTCCCCCCGCGGGCTTGTTACAGCATCTTTCGTTTTGTATTTTTTCTCCAAAGACTCCCAAAGTTCCTTTGCTGTCTTGATAGGACTGTAGATGTTGTATAATGTGCTGTCAAGTCCGTTCAAGATGTAGTTCCGGCAAATGAAATCAGCATGTTTCTAGGCATCGACCGCAGCAACCACTTGCCGGTCGGTTTCATCCTCTTTCAAAATAGGAGCATCCTCACGGAGAAAATGAGCCAGGTTCAGAGTTGTAAGATAGAACAACATTTTCTGTTGCCATCTTTTAAAATCAGTTCCTGAGAACTTCTCTAGCTTCTCTCGGTGATTTACTGGTACTGTCACCACAGGAGAGGGGGTTGGCGTCATTGCAGCCACCACAGTAGTACTTGTTTAAGCATTTGTTTCAGTAGCCATTATTCTAATTTATAAAACAAAATTATAATTAGAATTTATACTACACAGAAAATTAATTCAAATTCACAGAATTAAATTCTGTAAAAATAAAAGAAACAAGAATGTGACTTTTATTTTTCAATTAATTTGGAAATAAAATAAAATTTTATTTAACCAAATTAATTCCACACAGAAAATTAAATTTCTGTTTCACTTCAATAATTAAAATACTAAAACAAAATTTTAATTAATGAAAACTTAGAAAATAATTTTTAAAAACCAAAATTAATTTATGAAAAAATTCCACAAAAATATATTCTGAATTGTTAATGACACCAGTATATTACTACTAGTTGTCAAAGAAAATAGACAGTATATTACTACTATCTGTCAAATAGCATATAATCACTATTTATTTTTCCAACCAGAATACTATTTTGTAAATCCACAGAAAATAATTTTCTTAAAAGTAGAAAGAGAAAAGGAAACAAACGAAAAATTCTGTAAACAGAATAATTCGAATCTGTCTTAAGATTGTTGAAACAATCTTCTGTGAAAATAAAATAAATAGAAACTAATTCAAACAAAATAAAATAAAACTTACAGAATTTATTTTGTCGAACCAAATAAAAATCAAAATACCAAGTCGAGTGTGTGACACTTTGTCCTTAAGACAGATTTGCCCCGCTACGGTACTTACGGATATGTGGCATCTATCTCTCAAGATACAATGATCTTCACAAATTTGTAGTAGCACTCCAAACAAATTTGTACGGCGAACCAAACCTTTGTTCTATACTCTCTTTAATTTTTCCTAAACCTAGAATGAAGAATAATGCACTAAACAAAATCTGGATAGCAAAGGCATGAATTGCAGATTGATTTTTTCGGATCATTTGGACTGCATGAAATGGATCTATATATAGGCACAAAAGGTGACTAAAAATCTGTCCAAACAGGTGTATAATCTGCCGAACAGATGTGACACTGTTTTGAACAGATTTAGTCCAAATTTTGAACAGATCTGCAACCTGATTGAATCTGTAACTGTTGGCAGTTACAACTGTAAACTGATGGTAGTTTTCCAACAGTTAAAAACCTGTTAAACAGTTTGGGAAAGAATGGAACTTGGAGGCACAATTATTGGATAATAAAATTTGAATTCAAATTCAAATTACAAAATTTAAACTAATTTTTCTCGCAAAAAATTTAGGAAAAATTCAAATAAATATTGTCTAAAAAATTAATCTTTAGAACCGACCCACCACGGCTCGGCCGAACGGATGGCAGCGGCGGCGGCACGCGCGTGTGGTGGTTTGGGCTATGGTTCACTTTGTCCATAACTCCTCCCTTCTACAAACTTGGGGTGCCCCTTGGGGCCCAACCCGAGTGTTGTAGTCTAGAGCTTATATACATACACAAGCTTTCTTAAAGTTTCAATGTGGGATAAGCCTCAAAAAGGAAACCCACATTTAAAGCTTAAATGTTCAATTCCACGAATCCGAAAATGACATCAAGTTCCCATTCACTCATAAATGGTTTTGACGAACCGTCTTCACCGTATGACTTACCACGCGGCAAGGAACACATTACCTCTTCGGACCCGCCCCAAAAGATGTTCGGGGCCCACTCAATTTTAGGCTCAAAGATGGCCCAAAATAAGCCTTTATAAACCTATTTTTCCAACACAAACAACAATATACAAATTGCATATTGTTTTATTCATTCCGCTTTAAGTTTTTTTTTTTTTTTGGGAAAAATATTAGTGGTTTTGTAGGCCAATATACATTTTTAAGTTGCATATTCATTCAATCATAAAATTAGAATCTTACATTTGACCATACTTGTAACACCCCAAATTTCTAACCTAAATGATAAGACAACAATCATGACTCTTTCAAGAAAAATCGAATATAAATCTTTAAACTTACATTATATGATACAATAGTTACTCATGTAACAATACATTAATCCAACAACAAGTAAATAAATAAACAAATATTCCCAAGGGTTTACAAGGTTCCAAGACGTGATCCTGGTTACACAAAACGGTTATTCAAACCCACACGAATACAGCCATTGACTTACACACAGAGTCATAGCAAAATGAGAGCATTGTACTCATAACACACATACTTCTACGCCCCTAGTTGGATGGGATCACCACATATTTTCCTGCACAAAAATCCCGTAGGGTGAGCATAAAGCCTAGTAGGAAATTCTTAACAAAGTATATACATTTTATACAAGTCTCAAGAGATGAAATGCACATGCCATGCTATGCCATTTTGAAGATAAATCACATTTTCATCTTTTGAAAACCATCATGCTCAATGATGTCATGCAATTTCAATTGTTCAAAACTTAACAATTTATTTCAAGGGTGGTAAATACGACTCTAGTAATCCCTAGGTCGGTGTCTGCAAGTAGACTATACAAGTACTATCACCATCAATCTACTGGACAGCAAATCAGGGATTGCAAAGGCACAGACAACAAGCGTATGTGGAAACGCCAGGAGGTTGTTCAGAAGTGCAGAGGGCAAAGGCTGAAAGTTCAGAGGAAAAGCTCCGAGCAAAGAAGACAGAGGACGTTGATGAGATAAACAACGAGTTTTCTATTGCTCCAATGACTGGTCCTGCGAGGTAATGCATGACAGTCAAGGGCATCCCAGCGGGGGGTGCAGGACATCCAATCAGGGGGTGTCGGATATCTTGGTTGCGCAAGTTCAAGCATAGCAGGTATAGACATCCGAGACAGAAAGCGTGGAAGAGATCTGTAGGAGCTAGGAGCAACGGTTCTCTCCAAATCAGAGAGTGGTGTGAGTTGAGTTGAAGATGTAGGATTCCCTCCTCCTCTTGTATCTCTGGTGTATTATCTCTAGCTTTCAAGGGATGCAGCGTCTCAGTGAGGAGATGCAAACTGTGCTGAAATTTGGGCGTGACAAGATTACCAACAGTGTGTGCAGTGGATCACCTCACATGGGTTGAGGGGGTGATTTGTGGGGATATCATCACCCCATGTGAGGGGTGATTGTCCATGTGCTGCAAGAAGTGCAAAGCCAACAAAGGTGAGCTGGCCATGTGAAGCCAGCACACAAGAGAGCTGGCCATATGCAAGGCCAGCCTCTCCATCTCCATTGATTTGGTGTATAAATGGAGGCTAAGGGGAGAGAGAGAGAGAGCAGAGCAAGCCACAGAGAGTGAAATATGTGAGGCGGAGAGACCGTCTCCCTCGGTGTGAGCGAGGGAGACGGGTGAGTGGCTGAGTGAGGAGAGTGTGAGCTCCTCCTCTATTGTAATCTTTCTGTAATCTCCTCATTGGTATAGTGATAACCGGTTACTCTCCCGTGGACGTAGGCATTGGGCCTGCTGTGGGCAAGAAAAGGAGGAGTTTTCAAAATCAGGAGACTCATGATGGACCTTCGTCTCTTCCCCAAATTCCTCAAAACAATAGCCCACTCCTCCACCTCTCGCCGCCGCAGCGCCATCGCCATTCATTACAGCGAACGCCAGCTTTCCTTCGACAACACCCCCATTATCCACGTCAAGATGCACCGCCCTTCCTCGATGCGTTTGAAGATGCCTCGCATCCCTTGCATAAATCATTCGCCAGTCGATTTCGATTACGATTTCGAGTCCAATGGTGACAATGACTATGTTGTAAATTGTGATTGTATTGATGATGATGATGGAGCAAGGAAGAGTTTCTTAAAAAGTGGAGATGAAATTCATCGCAAGGTTTGTGAAGAGATGATTATTGCTTGTGATGATGAAGGAATTGATATCAAAGCAGAGCAGTTCATAGCTAAATTCTATGAGCAAATGAAGATGCAGAGACAGGCTTCATATTTACAGTACAATGAGATGATTAACAGAGGCACAAGTTGATCACCATGATGTCCCATGGAAGAGAAGAAACATCACTATAAGAAATTGAGAGAGATTGAGAGAGCAAATATTAGCTCTGTGTTTTTGATGATTATTGCAACCAAATGGAACCTCCATTATATAGGAGATGTTTTACAAGACAAAATGATGAACAAAGGAAATATAAAAATGAAAGCAAAAGGAAAAGAAGGTGTCTAGCTGTGCAACAACTATCTGCTAGGCTAGCAACAACTATCTACAGATCAATTACAGATCAATATAGTATTAAATTATAGGTATAGTTATAGGTATAGTATTAACATTATTAACATCCCCCCTCAAACTCAAGGAGGACAAACATCAACCAACTTGAGTTTGGAGACAAGGTCAACGAAGCAGCCAGGAGAATGAGCTTTGGTGAAGATATCAGCAGGTTGATCAACAGAAGAGATCGGATGGAGATGGACAGTACCATGAGTAACATGTTGCCGAATAAAATGGCAGTCAATCTCAATGTGCTTGGTGCGATCATGAAAAACATCATTGTGAGCAATTTGAAGAGCACTGTGATTGTCACAAAAGAGGGTAGTAGCGCCAGAGGGAGTAACACCCATATCAGCAAGAAGCCAACGAAGCCAGAGAAGCTCTTGAGTAGTATCAGCAAGGGCACGGTATGCGGCTTCGGTACTAGAACGAGCAGTAAGAGATTGTTTCTTACTGCGCCAAGAAATAAGAGAATCACCCAGAAAAAAGCAAAACCCAGTAGTAGAGCGGCGGTCAGTAGGATTGCCAGCCCAATCAGCATCAGAGAAAGCACGAAGCTGAAGAGAGGAGCGGGTGGAATAATGAAGACCATGAAACATGGTGCCTTTGAGATAGCGAATGATACGAATTAATGCAGCATAATGTGTGGTACGAGGAGCTGACATAAACTGGCTGACAATATGGACGGCATAGGCAATATCAGGACGAGTAACAGTGAGATAGACAAGACTGCCAACCAGCTGACGATATAGAGTAGCATCAGAGAGAAGATTTTTAATTGAAAACACAAACAGAATATTTAAATAAACTGAAAACATAAAGTCTTATAAATTACTAAGGGTGTTTGCGGTTTGGAGGTTTGGTTGCGGCCAAAGGAATTTCAAATCCACCATCTGTCCGCCAGATTGGCAAATTGGAGAAAATCAATCTGCAACTGTCTACTCGTCATCACGCATCCGTAAAAAATGCGACGAATCGGTTCGGTTCGGTCGATTTTGGCGAATCGGTATATCCGCTGCTCACCTCTAATATAAATAGAAAATTTATCAGAATAATATGACTCAATATAGAATTTTTCCATCAAAACAAAACACACATGAATATGATTCATATTTACAAAAAAAAGAAAAAGAGAGGCACTATTACATCATTGTTGTATTAATTTTTTTTATAGAAATTTTATGTATAAATAGAATTCTTCAATTTGAATGGTTGGTTTTAAATGAATTATTTAGCAAAAAATTCAAACCATCGATGTCTCTGATAACGTATAGATTCAAGTGCTCAATAATGGAGTGAGTGATAGGTGGGAGTCCATACCAAGTGTGGGTCAGGACAAATCAACACAATGGGCTCGAACCACATACAGCAATTTAACCTAAATTAGACTAGTCTTTTTGTTTCTGTTTTGAGTGGTAGCCAACTCATATCATGCACCACATGTTCTACCTAACAGCTCCCCATTGACCACAAATTTTATTTTATGTGCAATTTTCAAATTTTATAGTTTTATTCATTTTTTATTTTATTTTACTTATACTGAGAAAAGGTTGTCACCTTTTGAAGTTTCCCCAATGGACATAGCTGTCTCTAGTTAGTTATGTGTAGACAGGACCATGTTGTTGGCTCATTTCGGCCCGGTCCACTTTTATGATTGGTTGGATCATTTTTTTAATTGTTTCTACATAGGTTTTTCATAAAAATTAAAAAATAAAAATAAAAATTTAATTGATTCGATAATTAATATTTATCGTCACACAAATAACGATACGGAATAATTATGATAAAATCATATAATTATAATAATTATATTAAACTAATTTTAGTCTAGTAATTGAACCATTCGATTATTAAATTGGGTAGGCCCAATACACCCAATAATACAGTTTAATTCATATAGGGTTCGTTTGGCAAGAAGAGTTTGGGGCTTTTTTGACTATTTTAGCAACAAAAGACAAAATAGGCTATTTTAGCCATAAAAAATAAAATATCACATCCAATCCATAATCATTGCACTCTTCTCTCACAAAAAAATTAAAAAAGCCAAAAAATCCTTTCCAAACCAAACTTTTTAGCCCAGGCTAAAATAACTAAAAAAAACCAAAATGTTAAAAAGCCAACCTACTTCCCAAACGAAGACATAATAAATTAGAGAGAAATTATATTTGTATTAGATGTGACTTATGGATGATTATATATGTGATCTTTTCATTAATGATATAATTTATGATCTGTCCACTCAAAATACTTTTAAAAAAGACACTACAAAATGGTTGTTACAATATTTTAAATGAAAAAAAAAAGATATTATAAAATAAAATAATATCATTGGGAGCCCCAAAGACACGGTTTTAGTTAAAAAGTATGGCAATCATTCATTAGAAGCCCGCGCCCCAGTTGTCTCTCTGCTTTGGATTCTTTTTCTTTGTTTGAAAGTAATTAAAAAAAATAAAAGTAGAACCAATTGACTTTGCAAAGTCTTTAACCATTTTAAGAGGGTTTCCTATTTAGAAGACAGAGTGTGTGAAAGACTTACATAAACGAAGGCCCCAAGCAGAAGATGTTGATTTCAAGTAGGTACGGACCTTTTCTTCCATTATTAATTCATTTATAATGACCAAAATGACCTTTATATACAAAGTCACTCATTCATTTATACGACGAAAATGACCTTTATATACAAAGCCACTCTCATTCCCTTAATATTATTGGAATGCAATTATAAGAAAATGCTAATTTTGTATGAGCAATATTAGAAATCTCAAAAAAATTATCAAATATTTGATAACATACTCATAAGGATATGGGATCCACTAGGGATCGCAACGGGTCTAATTTTTTTGGGTTTCACATATGAATTCTTTATTTTAAATTTAATTATTTTGGTGATACAATTTTATACTCTACTTTAATATTTGACAATTTGAACTTCATACTCCTATAATTTATCTTTCGCTATCATTGTTCTCCCAAACCTTTTTTATTAACATCGGATTTAGACAAATACAATTGAGTAGGGTAATTTTGTCATTCTTAGATCCATACTTGTGTAAATATTGTGTAGAATATTTAATAATTATTTAAGTTTAATGATTAAAATATTATTTTTTTAATCAATTTTACTTAACAAAAATAAGTGAAAATAAATTACAATTTTAATATTTAAATTAACAAATAAAAACTCAGTATTTATTTTTTGTATAATAGTCAAATCTTAAGACTTTTTTTTGTAATTTTTTAAAAATAAATTTATTCACACACTTTTTTAATCTATGAACAATATACAAAATATAATCAATTGCAAAATATGAATCCTGGGATTCATAAGTTGGTTACTCTATTTTACACTAATCAAAATTTATGTATTATTATGGGAAGAAAATGGATCTCAAATAAAATGTAGAAAAAAAAAATTATAGTCATTTTGAGTATTAATTAATTCAGTAATGCTATGTAGCTCGAATCTGCCCTTCCCCAAATCCCCCGAAATCAAAACGACGTCGTTTTCGTCGTTTTGATTTTTTTTTTCAGAAGAAGAAGAAAATCAGAAAAGAAGAAGGAAGAAGAAGAACTGGAGGGGCCATCAACCATTCATCTTCATCATCAACATCATCAACCATTTCGGATCCAGAAAAAAAAAAAACAAAATCGGGCAGGGGCGGAGGCGCGACGATCGGTGACGAAGGCAGAGGCGGAGGCGCGGCGATTTGGGATGAGTTGAGACGATCTGGATCGGCCAACCAGGAACGACGATCGGCGGGACGACGATCCCCCTCCATTCCTCTTCCCCTCATCTTTCTCTTCTCCTCTCCTCTTCTCTCCCTCTCTCTCTCTATTTCCATCTCTCTTTCTCCCTCTTTCTCTCTTGCCTTTCCCTTCTTCAGATGTAAACAAAAAAAAAAAAACGGGGGAATCGGTGAATGATTTTTCAGAAAAAAAATCATTTTTAATTAATTAATAATTATGCCAGAAAAACAATCATTATCATAGACAAGGGTTACATTAGGAAATAAAGGAGCCGCACTCTTGATTGCCCCGCGTACAGCCCTGTCCCCTTCCAAACTCCACCGCCGACACACTCACCTTCCCCCCTCCGCTCCCTCTACACCGCGTGTCATTTTCCACACAATCCCTGTATATATAGCCACTCTCTTCTCTTCTTCCCTCACTATCTAACCTCTCAAACTCAAAACAAAACAAAAAACTCTCTCAAGTCTTACACAATTACCAGCACAACAGTCTCAGTACCAAGCAATCTTCTCTAATTCAATCAATTCTCTCTGCACATTGTCTCATTCATTCATTTACACCAATGAAGATGCAGACAAAGAAATCGAGCGCAGCTCAAAAAGCGTGGAACATCCTCCGTCTAGCCTTGCTATGGGCAAGAAAAGGAGGAGTTTTCGAAATCAGGAGACTCATGATGGACCTTCGTCTCTTCCCCAAATTCCTCAAAACCCTAGCTCACTCCGCCACCTCTCGCCGCCGCAGCGCCACCGCCATTCATTACGGCGAACGCCAGCTTTCCTTCGATAACACCCCCATTATCCACGTCAAGATGCACCGCCCTTCCTCGATGCGTTTCAAGATGCCTCGCATCCCTTGCATAAATCATCCGCAAGTCGATTTTGATTACGATTTCGAGTCCAATGGTGACAATGACTATGTCGTGAATTGTGATTGTATTGATGATGATGATGGAGCAAGGAAGAGTTTCTTAAAAAGTGGAGATGAAATTGATCGCAAGGTTTGCGAAGAGATGATTGTTGCTTGTGATGATGAAGGAATTGATATCAAAGCAGAGCAGTTCATAGCTAAATTCTATGAGCAAATGAAGATGCAGAGACAGGTTTCATATTTACAGTACAATGAGATGATTAACAGAGGCACAAGTTGATCACCATGATGTCCCATGGAAGAGAAGAAACATCACCATTCATTTTTCTCTCTGGTTTTCACATCTACAATTTTTTTGACCTACATAGATATATTTTGTATAAGAGGCATTGCGGCATTTCTGTAAATACCGGAGGCTTCGGTTGAGTGTTCACATTTTTCTCAAATAAAGGATTTCATTTTTTTTTTATTTTGATTCATGAAATGCTTGTGTTATGGTATAAAATATTTCATTTCTTTTTTTTCCCCCCTCTTATTTTTACTTTCAATTTATAATTTAGACTGACTAACTACATACATAACTTAAAATTACTTGAACTAACTAACAATATGTGTGTCGCTTGGAAGTATTTTTGAAATGCTAAATAATTTTTGTATTTGGAGGGACCTAAAACTCAAAAATTACCTAACTGGATAGAACCAAATATCACTCAATCACACGATTAGAATTGATATTTTTTTTCATGCGGCCTTAATCAGATCTTGAGTTTAGTTAAAATTTTGCAATGCATTTTGATCTTGGCATAGACAGTAGCAACCAAACCCATAATGAGAAGCACCAGACTTTAAAATGTTGGTTTAGCTGTGTTGAAGACATGTCGAAGTGTTCAAAAATATACCAAATGGAATAAGTTTTTTAAGCACTAAATTGATTGTAGATTTATTTTAAGCTAACTTACAAGTTGAACACCAAGGGAGGCTTTAACGTTAATTAATTGTCTCTAAATATTTTAATATGGATTAAGAATGAATCTTGGACGTCATTGCAATTCAATTTCGTCTCACATATGTTTTTTTTTTTTTTTTATCTCCCATCTTTCTGTTACTTCTAAGTTCTACATGTGAGGATCTTCTGTTCCTATACCTTGTCCCCATCTTCTGTACCAATTTCTTTTAGACTGTCACGTGTCTATAGTTAAATCCCAACCATTGAAATGAATACACACACACTCTCTCTCTTTCTCTCTCTCTCTCTCTCTCTATATATATATATATATATCTCCATCTCCGACTTCTCCATGCAGCCGTCGGCGAACAACGATTGACCTCTCACCACCAACTCTCACCAACCAGACCTTCCTAACACCTCACTCCAGCAATATCCCTCTACCATCGCTTCCGCGAGTCCCTCTCTTCTATATCCTTCTGTCTTTGTCTAAATATCCATGAACCAAAACATTTACACAATTTCACAATATCCACATTACCAGATTGTGATTTCTGATGAAAATATAAAATTTCATTTGTATTCACTGAGCTTGAGTTACCGACTCAAAATATTAGCGATGATAGATTTTATATTATTGTTCAATCTGATGATACTTTTATTTATGATCAATTCGTTGTTCAAATTCTTTATTTCACTACTTTACTCATGATTCATAGATATTGTTTTTCACTGGGAATGAGATTTAAGAGGGGTCGTTCAAAAAAAAAAAAAAAAGATTTAAGAGGGTACTTACCCAAAAAGACATTTAAGAGGGGATGAAAATGATGATAGTTCGTTGGCGATGACGTTAGGAGTTGAAGAATGTGATGGGTTCACCAGATAAGTATAGGGAGAGAACGGAGTTACACTTAAGGGTTGAGATTTAACTATAAACATGTGGCAATTTAAGAAAAATTGGTATAGAAGATGGGGACAGGGTACAGGGAACAAAGGATCCCAAACCGATCAAACGTTATGTACAAGAGAGCATTACAGAATCGTTCCATGTAGTTTCTCTAAATCACTCAAACTTACCTATTACGCACTCTAAAGATCTATGCGGTTATGTCCAGTTGTTTTCTGTTGTAGGAGTTCAAAGTGGACTCCTAGTGATGAACAGTGAAGGTAAATCATGTTTGTTTTGTTTATGGAGGTCCGGATTTGTAGGCCTTGGGCGAGTGAATTACGAGTCTGGGCGATGAGATGATATTAGAAAATAGTCCGTTCAGCTTAGGGTATTATTGGCAGTCCAAGGGAACGTCTGACCGGACAACCAGCCAAGTGCAATTTTTTTTTTTTTTTTAACACATTAGGCAGCACAATTTGAATATTAATGTTTAATGTTTTTGTATTTTTTGTTAAGTAAAACCCATAGAGACAAAGTGGGACCAGGTGGTTTGTAACAATAATAAGTAATGTTAAGAATTCTAAATATTTTATTAATATTTTTTATCAAATATCTCATATGAATATGAGACTCACAAAATATTTTTCAACTAAATAATAGAGTGGGTGGTGGGAGTCCATATCATTTGGTCTGTACAAATAAACCCAATGGGCTCGAACCACATACAGCTATTTTTTGAAGTAAGGCCTCATTTGGGAACAAATTATGTTAATAATTTTTTGGCTAAAATATGAGGCAAAAAAATTAATTTATTTGGAATGACTTTTTAATTTTTTACGAAAAGATGTACAAAATGTAGAAAAAAAAAGAATCTTGCCTTTTTGGTATATGTTATAAACTTTTTAATTTTTTAATATTTTTTTAACTTTTGATCTAAAACTATTACAGGTTAGACGAGACCTAAATCTTGATTTTTAAATTTAAAAAAAAAAAAATCAAATTCTAGAAACTTAGCTATACAGATTTGTGTACCAGTAATATGAAACACAGATATTGCGGCACATGTTCTACGTAACAACCACATTTTTTTTTGGGTTTTTGGTGTTCAATTTTCAACTTTTCTTATTATTTAAGAAATTTTCTATTTTACTTATTATAGTGAAAAAAGGTTGTCAATTTTTTTAGTTTCCTCACATGATATGGCTGCCTCCAGTATTATATGTGAACGGTAGCCATGTTGTTGGCTCAATTGGGCATATCACAGGACTTATTTTATAATTTAATAATTGTGATTATATAATTTTTATTAAATAAATAAATAATAAATATGATTTTAAAAGTACATTAGAAAACAATTATAATTAAATTATGTAATTATGATTATCAAATCATTTTTTTTTTAATGAATGATCTTACATATAAATCCAGAAAATGAATAAGCTGATTATTAAATTGGGCTTTGTAGTAGGCCCAATAATAGATAGGAAAGAAAATTTATATTTTTTAATATAATTTTTGTATGATGATACATGTGATTTTATGATACAATTTTATGATCTGATTCGTTCTAAATACTTTTTTTTAAATAAAAAAAATTATAAAACAGTTTCAACAATATTTTAAATGGAAAAAATATATATTATAAAATAAATGATTTCATTAACAGCCCAACACGGTTTAGTTGAAAAAATATGGCAATCATTGGAAGCCGCGCCTCAATTCTCTCTCTCTCTCTACTTAGGATTCTCTTTTCTTTATTTGGACACTTACCTCCTCTGAGGGCTAGCATAATTACAAAAACTTCTCTTGTGGTTTGAGAAATTACTTTAATTTTCTTTACTTTCGAAACTAATATAAAAAACCTCCCTTAAAATATAAATATATTGTGTCTTGATAAATTTCATAATTTTAGTTTTTCAATTTACCAATTATCTCATATCTATTATGTAAAATCAATTACCTTATCAATAAATCAAAATTAAAGAATAAATAAAAAATAGAAAAAAAAAATAGAGTATTAGTGACCCCAATGTTCAACCCACTCCTCAAATAAGATTTCGATTATTTCAATTTTGCTAGGCTGCTTTGCAAACCTTATAGCCATTTTCTTAATTTGAACTCCATATAGATCATTTTTAATTTTTAATTTTTGATTTTTTATATTTTTTAATTGTTTTATATTAAAAAAAATTTAGAACTAATATACTAAACAAATAAATTAAACTGAATATGTATGTAAAACAATTTAACTTTAGCCCATAGGCCTAAGTTTTTTTATTGTGTATTTGATTGAAAATGTGTTAGACTATTTTAATGGCTAATACCTAAATCTCAATAATTATTCGGTAGGTAACTTAAGTCATAATGACTACTTGATTTATAGTTAGCATGGTTCAAATAAAAGGTAATGCATTTACTATATGTGAATTTATAATTTTTTTTTCTCATTTGTTAATAAATTTATGCATAATCCACATTTCAAATGAGAATTTTATATATTTTTAAGAGTTAATCACAATTTTTTTAAAAAAAATAGACATGATACATTATAAATATGTATGAAATAGCTTTATTAATAAACCATTTTTATTAAAAAATTCAATACTTAATCAAATAGTTCTTCTAGCATTTGAAAATTTAATATTTATTAATAAATTTAATATTTTCAAATACTCCAAGCATTTTTCACATTTAAAATTTATGAATAAATTTATGTAACTTAAAAGTTTTATACTTTATTAAAACTTTTAGCATTACAAAATCAATAATTAAGTTTTATCAAATATACTTTAAATCTAATCATCAACCTATTTTTTAAACAAAATTTTCTCATTCAAAATTTTGGCAAATATTTATTTAGGAAAACTATCCACATGTTAGTGCACCATGTTCACGGTCAATATTAAGCTTATGTAACTTAGACCCTAATCTAAATGCACCTTGTATTTTTAAAATTTTGTTTAATATTTAACATAACCTATAAAATGGTTATAAATTATAAGTAAAATTTTAAATTATTAACTTAAAATAAGTTGTAAATTTATTTGGTGTAATGTAAATTTTGATAATCTATATAACATTTTTATTGTGTAAATATACATAATGCCTCAAAAGTTATTACTAAAACAAAAGATATGAGACTTGTATATTCATATATATATTTGGATTTCAAATAAGTTTAAAAGAAGAAGAAGAAAAAAGTTACAAATTGTAGTTTAAAAAACCTCTATTTTTTAGTCAAATAAGCTATAAAAATATCAAATAAATTATAATTTAAAATTACAACCAAATCAACTTAGTCACACAATAAAATATAATATAATATAATATAAAAATATAATAAGTATAACATTATTTAAGAAAAAGTGCACCAACTATAAAATTTGAAAATTAAAAGTAAACCTTATAAAAATTTTGAAATATGAAATCATGGAAATTACAAAAC